GAAAACTCTCTCCTTCCGCTTTAATCGTCACAATAATTAATACCTCACCGTCCGAGTTCGTACTTCTTTCTTTCCTTCCTCCCACCCCCCACCCCCCCCGTCCGGTTGCGTATAATATCCTACAGACTCACAGCCCAGACCCCTCCCCTTCCTTCGCCACTTTCATTTCTTCCCCCCCACTCATAATACCAGACCGGATCGGAAAAAAAACACACTCCACGAGGGGGGCGATACGTGGTGGTTAGAAGGGGAGGGAGGAGGGTCAGGTGTACTCGAAAACACACACAAACAACACACACACACACGCACGCACGCACCCGCACGCACGCACACACGCACACACACACGTTGGTACTGGCCGGATTGCACCGCGTCGGTGATAGTTAGCATACAGTCCCTTTATTCATAGTAGAAGTCCACCCCGTCTCACTGAGTCGCTAGTTTCTTCCATCGCTCTGGGGTTCTCTCCTCCCGTCGTGTTTGCGTTGTTCTCCGTCTCACCGTCGACCTTCATAGTTTTTTTTTGATAAGTGCCGTTTGATAGACTCGTCATTTTGTGACTCGTCGTTATGTGAGGGACAGGGACATCTACATTTAATAACTCCGTGCGCTACCTGCGGGAGCTCGCACAATTAACCCCGCCACAAACCGGACAAATGAGGGAATGGTTTGCGCCTAGGGAAACGTCACAGGAAGCAGGAAACACCGAATATTTGTTCACGTCGAAGAAGACCTTAAGCAAATAAGTGACGACGCAATGTAGATCTGTGCGTCCATCAGAATACATGTCCGGATATGCCTTCGAACTTATCTCCGATCCATCCTCGTGCCAACAATCTATACCAGAATTTGTGTGTTATTAACCAAAGTTTGTACGCTCGAAGGTGCCTGTACTCACTGATTTTTTCTCGGTTGCGGATTTGGGTAGACCGAAACAGAAACCTTATAGCTATGACGTAAATAAGGGCTGTGTGACTGATCCGTCTGACGGCCTATACATGAGTCCGAGCACGAGGCGTTAACATTACTGCTGGCCACCACCTTTGGTACTGTAGAGCTAAACGTGCTGAAAAGATTTGGAGCCGATTCGGCTACTACTGGCGATTGCTATCTGCTGGTCGGCGATTGCTACTTTGGCGATTGCTAGTTCTGACTATTGCGAGTGTTGGCAACTAGAATAGTGTTTTTGTCTTTCCGGGAAAGTTGACGAGCCACCGTTATCGGCGGGATTAGCAAAAGGTTGCACATGTCTTGCTTTATATCAGTGGGTTAACTCCAAACTTTTTCCGTTTTTGCCATTTATAACTCCCTCAAGACTTTTACAGGTAGAGATACCACAGTCCGGGCGTTGCTTTATAAATTAGAAGATTATGTAAAGAATTTACAAATTACTGAACCACAAGTCCGACAGTAACACCCCTAAAACTAGTACAATGTATTACCGTTCATTTAGTGACAGCGTGAGTTTTTGTTTAACTTATTTCATTGCCATCGAACGTAAATCGAGTTTCGTACAGCGACAGTGGATTTGTGTTATACATACACTTTTCTCCTTTTTACCTTTTTCACACAAGAAAAGATTATGTAAAAAGGGGTTCTCCAGCGACCATAGTTTTAGTTGGGACCTATAAGATCGTAAGTATCGTTCTCGTATTCCGCATGTTACAAACATGAACCTAAATGGATTTGTAATCTACAGGAAAGGTTTAGGTGTCAAGTCGCCGTTACCGACTGGTAGAGTCAAATGCGAAATTTTCGGACAGAGGATGAGAACCCGGAACTTCATATCGCAGTCTCTCTGTCATCTGATGAATTTTTCTTTTTCTGTTTTTGCAGTACCAAATCCGGGTGTAACTAAGCATTAAGCTCCACAACACAATGGGACTAACCTAGCGGGCTGTATAGTTCGCTAAAAAGATAAGCTTACTTCGTCAAACGACGACAAACCAACATGAACTCGATCGGCATTAATGATATCATCCTTAAGTGGCAATAAACAAGCCCGTTTTTGACACAGGACTGACTCTGATTTCGGCGATTACGTGCTCGCCGCTAAAGCCGGAAAGCTATCTACAACCTATCTGACAAGACCCGGCAGCTACCGCGCAGCACAGCGGGATCGTGTCTTACAGCACAGGGCGTCCGGCAGCACAGAAAAGCCGTCACGGGCTGGGAAGGCGGGGCTAACGCTGTACCTTCCGAGAATTAGTCGTGACACTCCAGGCAACGTCTTTCGTCTCCGTTTCCACACATTTTTTATAGTCGACGTCTATATTCTGCTCCGGATGTAATGAGAGACATAGACATACTAACATCACAATATCTATAGATTGTTTGTTCTCTCAGGTACCTCTCCCTTCACCGCCGCCACCATCATTTCCTGTCTTATAGGTTCCTGAAGTGCAGAGTACAGTATGTCTCTCAAAACAGCAGCCACTTATAGAGGCTCAAAATAAACAGCCTTCCTATCTGTGACGTCTTCATCACACTGTGTCAACCCGGGGTTCCTCTCCCTCTGCTGCTACACAGTAGTACAGATCATCGCAGATACTAATAGATATGAAATAGGGCCAGTTTGTACGGCCTGGGACACAGGGGGGGGAAGTTCATTGTCTTGTTTTTTCTATGGCTTGGTTCTTACAAAATCAAACCAGACATAAATATATCTACTTAATAAGGTCACTCAGCACAGCGATGCCGGATTGGTGCAGTCCCAGGACCTCCCCTCGGGGTCCCAAGATGAACAAATTGTGTTACGCAAGGATTGTTCTTGCAATATTCTGGACACATGCATCTTTTTTAAAGACTTAAATTATCTGAGATAGAAAATTAAATTACTGCTTACAACTTATACTCTAAGGCCTGTGGAGTGTGGTCATAGACCAACAAAAATGTTGGCTGTGTTCAGATGTGTTTGTGATGTGCAATCCATTTATATTTATCATTTTATATTCTATATTTATGTCGAACTGTATGAAGAATATGCATTTAAGCTTAGAATTTGTATTTCTGGTGCTACAGCAGAGCAAGATGTTGCAGGCCCTTTGTTAATGAAAGCACTGAGACCTGCTTATATTCGTGAAGCTCTGAGGATTATAGCTGTACGCTCTTACATCTGTTGAACCACAGTGTATTATACCCAGATATGGACACATGTGGAGACAGACAGCTTGTCACAAACTCAAATGAGTTCCCAGTTGGAAGTTTCAAATAGAGCTGCCCCTTGGTTGGATTTCCAACCAGAAAGGGGGGAGAACGTAACAACCCGGACCTTAAAATCAGAAATGGCTGTTTTTTCACTACATGAAAGCTGTAGTAATATACTGTTAATCAGTACTTCTGTCTTATTTGTGTCCCATTAAGGGTCCCATGCAGGTCTCCCTTGAAAAAGAGATCAATGATCTTGGGACCTACCTGGTTAGATAAAGGTTTCCCAAGGTCAATGGATTGCAGCATGATTATAATGGCCCTCAAAAAGGTTTATTCACTAGCTTCTCAGATTGTTCTTCTTCTGTTCGTTTAATGTGGAAACAACATGGACGCTACAAAGAAGACATGTTATACTGTATTGCTCAAAACGTTTAAACAACTTTTTTGTTTCGGACAGGGGGATGTCAGGAACGAATCTTTCCGATTGTTACTCCACTGAAGAAGAGCGCACAAGACCACGGTTGTTTTGGAGAAAGCCCCAGGTCGGTATTTTTTCCATATATCGAAATTAGACGAGTGAAAGCTTCACATTCCCAATTAACTCTAAACTTGTGTTGTGTGAATGAAGGACATATTTTTAGCTTTTATCTCCATTTTCAGCGAGGTTTTCATAAGGCTGTTTTACTTCTGGTCTTTGAATAGCTGCAGAAACAGGTATGCCCTCCATGACTGTTAACCCTCTTCAAAAAGTCCTCCATCACATATGGTCATTTTAGAAAAGAGAGCCGTACTTCTGGCATCAGTTATAGTCATAATTCCACGTCATGTATAGTGGTAATCTTACTCAGAACGGCTTGTATCCTCCCGGTGTAGACGCTATGGATTCATCATGTGTTTACAGCTTCATTAAGATGTCAAAGTCATGGTGCAAGGACATATAGAGCTGTACATACTGACGACTGAAGAAATCAATGGCAGAGTGGCTGATGGGAAGTCTTTTAGATGATGGAGCAGTGACGCTGTACAGCAGCTGAACGACAAGCCAATGAGGCCTTCTCTCTCAATCTGTGAGGTCTCTTCTGTCAACTGTGTTGTCATGCAGCAACGTTATTTAACTTAACATAATATCAGCCAAACTAGCTGTTCTTGGTTTTGTCTCAGCTTTCTATCCCCGCCTGTCATCTGTGAGCATTACTTATTAGACACTTTTTCCTTATCTTAAAGGGTGTCTGGGCTACGTTATGAATAGCAAATGTCACCTTATTGAAAGTTTCAACACTATCATTTGATTTTGATAAAAATATGCATACATTTGAACGATATAAATGGTTTTGATATAGCCAAAACTATTTAGATTTAATTCTTAACTTTCAGGCCACAAGCAGCCATAATCCTGAGCAGAGTTACCATTCTTCCGTTTGACTGCAGACAAAATGATCAAACATGTTCGATAGTCAAGAACATAAATGGGCTCACCAAGCCTCTGGCAGCAGGGGACAACTAAACTCGATTTTGACCCCCCTGGCCTGCCAATTCTGGACGCGCCTCTATGTTATCATGTGAATACTGCGTACGAAGTTATCTCTCATCCGTCCGCCCGCCTGTCTTTCAGCCAGATTCTCAAAAGTGAGATATGTATTTCAATAAGGCGAGATCGATCGGAAGTGAGTAGCAATAAAGGTTAGATACAAAGGAAGACTTTGCTGATTAGCTAATTTGATGTAATAAACATGGCCCTTAAGGTAAGAACAATTGTCTGGGGAAAGGTAGGAAAACATTGGCAAGAAATAGCAATGCCAGGATTGGGAATGGTGGGACTTTGACAGCGTGGGAAAAAGAACAAAAAGCCCCCAGGTGAATCACCTGAGGCAAAAAGACGGAACGTGAGAGAAAATGTTTTCCCTATTGAACATTTGCTATAGCTGTTACATTTGGTGGACAATATACAATAAAAATATATGGGTGACTCTCTTGCCAGATGTTCAACTTTATATGTTATTGTTGTATGGCCAAAACTGTAAAAGTAGAATTAATCCTCCCGCATCGGTGTTCCAAGTGTTTTTGCTCCTTCATAACAACTTCCAATGTTTAGTTCCCAATTCCTAACAATCATGATTTTCACTTTAATTAAGTCTGTAGTATTATCAAAACTGTCACAAGTTTATTAGCAGATTGATTTGAAAAGCTTGTGCTTTTTTATGTAACACCATGAACACACGTTATATCTAATATAATGCACTTACACATTTTGATGGATAATACGGTGGCTGAAAGGTGCAAACTCGTTACAGAAACCTCGGAACGTCAACAAACGCTCCGGTCCAAGCTGTGTGCATCAGTTTTTAGTGTCCCCGTCTCCACTGTGTTTTGAGCTTCTTGCAGCGTTTTTGTAATTGCAGCGTTTTGTGTTTGTAGCGTTACGTTTATGCAGATTTGAATGAGCCCTGAGCATTTGGTGCTGCTTGTGTTGTCAACTTTGTGAATATGTTTATTCATTTGTATGTGTTTTGGGAAATTTGTGTTTTCATTTTTGCATTGTTTTTGAAAGTGCAAAAGTCTCCTAATGTAAGCGGCTTGGAGCGTTCTAGCGCGTTTCCCCCTGTCGGCCACCGTATGATGATACAGGTCAACAAAGTCAATATTCTGCACAACCAACTTTTATAACAAACAGAAATGAATGGAAACCAAAGGCTGTTTGGCAGGAAGGAGGCATACATAAAAGAAACTCCAGTGCACAGGCTACAGAAACGCCAGTATATTATTATCATGGTGTTGAATAAGTAAATCATGACAGATCACATGTATGGTGCTGTGAAGGGACAGCAAAGTCAAGAAAACCCTTTAACCTCTGACTAATGTGACAGGAAGTGATCTCTATCAAGTTCTAGTTTACTTTTTGCTCTTTTTAAGATTTCTGTTCCCATGCTTACTGAGTCCTATACATGTCTCCTCTCAGGTTCTGGTCAGGCAACAAATCAGAACTCTTGAATCTGTGTGTTGTATAAAAATACACGCTGAGTAAATGGTTAATGATGAGATGATGATGTGAGCAGAAGTAGAAAAAGGCAGTTTTTCTTTAAACTTTTAGATTTCACCTCAGAGGCCTGCATGCACGCACACACCAGCCGCCATTTCATCTTACCCCCTTACCTACTCAAAAACACATGCATGCACTCGCTCACTCTCTCTCATGCACACATTATATGCTCGCACGTCCGCGCAGACACGCACACCCAACCCCCACCCAATCCTCTGCTCGACATGCAAACACACACACACCCTTTCCCCTGCTACCCCCCTCCACACACACACACCAAAACACACATACCTCCCCCTCACACACGTATGCACCCCCCCACTCCGTGCACGCCAACACACACACCCTGTTCCCCTCCCCCCTCCCATTCCATACCAGGGCACATCGTGACAAAACAAAGAACACCCCATAATAGTCAGTCGCACAGTATGCATGGTAACCAGTTATGTCAGAGATGAAGGCTCAGTGTGTGTGTGTGTGTTTCACTGTATTTATGAACACACACACACACATGCAGTTGCATACATTCATATAGCTGTGTTTCTGCAGATAAAGCTCACTTCATACATAAATAAAGACACACAAGCACACACTGGTGATGATACACACATACATTCCGCAAACCCACGTCCACACACACACAAACCTTCACAAACACGCAAAATTACAGGCTAACTGGTGTACAACCTGATACACATACTAAAACACAAGAGTGCATGGAGTCACATGTACACACCCAGAAACACACACATAAAAGTACACGTCCATATATAATGACATATACGTGGAGAAGAACATTGAGGCAGAGGAAAGAACACAACACACACACACACACACACACACACACACAAAAGACGGAGACAAAGACACGAAAAATTCCAAGAAGGAGCAAAGACACAAGGTTCAATGCTAAGACAAAGACAAAACACATAGATTAAAGACCACACGTACACAGAAAAGTACACATCCATTTAAACAATCACAAATATAAACAAGAATAGAACAAAAAAAGGCAGACACACACCAAGACACCAAACATTTATTGTGGAAACACACAAACACATTTGACAACATGCAGAAACAACTACATTATGTCATTTATTATCAAGCACAAAGACAGGGGAAGGACAAAGGAAGTGCAATGACCACAAAACATATACCACGTGCACACCTAAAAATGGTGTGTGTTCACGATATAACACGCAAAACAAAGATTGTATGAACAGAATTTCAAAACTAAACACAGACATGTCACACTCATACAAACATGAACACAAACACACAACACATATATGGACACAAACATTGTGGACAGTCAAATACAAGACATGGCAACCAAAGCAGAAAGTCAGAAATGCTAAATAAAAGAAACGTATACAGTATAAACATGCACCAACATTTTACGCTTCATCATAAACAACCTTCATATTACAAACATAACATTGGACACATCCGATTTTGTAAACAGGCGAACACTTTATGATAAACACACTAACAGAAAGACAGAAATGGTCATTTCAACACAGTGTTATACACACAGGCAATCACAACTCTGTCACTAAACTCAACATAAAATCACAGAAACACAGAATTACACCCGTATATACAGAAACATAGGGATATATTCTTGGGTTTTGGCCTTTTAGTTGGACACGTTAAGACATTTGAGGATGACACGCTGGGCTCTGGGACTTTGTGATGGATATTCTTCACTATTCTCCAACCAACCAAATAATGAATTGAAAATATGTTGAACATGTTTTCTTTCTTGATGCAAGTTTTGTTCGTTTTAAACTCGAGTTGTGCAAAAGTGGACCATTGTATCAGATTGTTCACAGTTAAACGATAACTAAATGCTGACACACACAATGTTAGTTCTCTCCAACAATAGCATGCAGTGTGTGAGAGCATCTGTACGTGTTTTTCCTTTACATTCGACCATAAACAAATGTTGTATTGTTGTTCAGACTCAGAGTGAAGAGGCTCGACGCACGGGTTCTTGTATCTTGTTTAGGCTTACTGTGTGTGCGCGTTACTGCGGTTGCACTCTCTGCATGTGTGCACGTGTACACATGTGCATATGTGCACGTGTGCGCCCTCTGAGGGAGAGAAAAAAGGGGAAGAAAAAAAGAGAGAGGTCAGGTTTCTATCCCATGATGCAACTGTTCTTCTATCCCCCCCCCCCACAACCCCTCCTTTTTCGCCAATCTGGTTGCCCATGGCAACGCACTTATAATGAGGTCAGATGGACATCCAATAATATTCACCAGCCAAACCAGCAAGCAGCAGAGTGAGGCGTGTTGGGACAGACAGCAGTCAAAGTGTCAGAGGCTGAATCAGCAGCAAGACAAGATGGCCGCTAAATAAACACAATAAGTTGGCTCTGATTCGTCAAGTGCTGAAACTGAGCTGGAATCAGTTAACTCACTGTGGTGCTTACCTTTGTTTACCTGGAAGACGTCCAAGAGGTTTGACTTTAATGGTTGAGTCTCAGTATTGAAACACGAATAAGGACTGCATTTAAAAGTTATGTAATGATAAGGAAATGACCTTAATTCCAATCAAATGGAAAAGAGCAAACATGAAATCTTAGTCAGTTAAGGTACAAAGTAACATTTCAAACATTGAGGTAGGGTTTACATGTTAAACATTTTTTTGTTTCAGAACGTTTTGGTTTGCAAGTTGTAACAGACAAAGAACTGGCTTTTGTTGGTTCCTGATGTGTTGCATGCTGCGGTGAAGGAAGTAATTATAACTATTACCCACGTAAAACTACAATAAAACACAATTAAAACGTTCTGTGACAAGTTCAACATTTGACTTTGATGGTGACTTTAAACTGTGTTCACATGAATGGGCAGCTTAATCTAAACAATGTCTTGTATTTTTTGAAATGACATGTTTAGGGATGAAATGTTTCATCTGAAATGCATCTAAGGTAACTCAAATAAAAAAAGTGGAACAAAAGGTAAATTACTTGACTCTGAAATTCAATTTAAAATAAGTTTACATTTGCATTTAATGGTGTAGTACATTTAGAATTGTACTTATAGCCTAAAGCATCTGGGTAAAGTTAGCCGGTCACATTATACTCTCTGTTTGTAGGCCCCAAACTGTGGAACAGCCTCCCATTGGATCTTATAACAGCAAACTCCATTGCAAGTAAATGAAAGACATATCTTTTTTAATGTAGCTTTTAATTTGGGGTAATTTTAGTGGCATCACTTTTCATCTTTTATGGTTCGGTGATATAACTCTTTCTGTTGGTTTATAACCTGTTTTTAATGATGTTCCTCGCTCTTTATTTGGTATCTTTTCTCACTCTGTGAAGCACTTTGGGCCGCATCTTGCATGAAAGGTGCTCTAGAAATACAGTTCACTGTTATTATACATTAGAGAAGAAACTAGTAATACATTAAAATGGTCAAATAGAGTTTTGGGAATAATTAAAATACGTGATTTAAACACATCACAAGCACATGTGGGTAAACACAGCAACATCACTATATTAAGCAAGTCTCCTCAGTCTGTGAGATGATAGTCATGCCATGAATCAAATGGTGTCAGTTTAAATCTCAGATATGACAACTTTGTATATGCAAACCATTTCAAATACAGACTTAAAACTAAAGTTTATAGTAATTTTTTTTAATTGCACAACTAATTGTTTTACGAAAAAAGTTCTGTAAATGGCTTTTCAGCTTG